GGAGCTCTTTTCTTTTTAACGCTCTGTTTGGGATATTTCTGCTTGGTAACATTTTATGATAACTATAATTATGGTAAATAGATAGTTTATTATTGTAAGTTAATAGTTACTTTACCACTAACAAGCAATCAAACTATGATTAATAATTTTATTCATTTATTAATGGACTATTTATTAAAGGTTTATACAGGGTTTAAATATTGGTTGTTAAACATCTAGATTAAAATGTGTGTCAGCAGCAATTTGTAAATAGTTAATATTTGGTTTTTAAACCATCTATAAACATTACTTAGTTATTGTAAAGTTAGAGTTAAGTTTTTAAAATATATTTTACATTTATAAATTAATGATTATAAATGATGATTAAACATTAATAAACTATCTGTTTACCATTTATAAGTGGTCTATTTACCATTTTTAAGTTATAGTTGTTGTAAAGTGTTACCTTCTGCTTTTATTAGAAAAGACGGGAAATGTTGTAGAAAGTAGAAAAAGTCGTAGCTGAGAATTGAACCTGCAACAGCAGGGACAAGGACTACAGCCTCTGCTGATGGGGTGCAGAGACCACTAAGAAAGACCCTTATCTCAAAATTTCCTAAATGAGAGGCACATCTATTACCTTTATTTCTATGTAAAAAGTGCTCTGTATCCTGTTACAAGTGTGACCTGCAGACTAGGATAAAATCTACTGAGTCATGGTATTTTACCACAAAGATGGCGCTATCCTCACCAAACCTCCATCGCCTCCAGCAGGGCTCGACATTGCGAGCCCTGACCGCCAGTGTTAAAAACTACTGCAGTCCAATGCAGGAGTGCACAAAACCTGCAGTTCCTGAAGTGTCCACTTGAGGCTTGTACCAGAACCACAGGAGGCCCCATTCACACCTGTGTTAAACTTTTAATTATCATAGAATATGAATATAGAACATTCAGTGATATCTCACAGATTCTAGATTGAAGTTCTCCCTCACTCACCCCGTCTTTTGGTGAAACTACGGTGGCCTTTGAGGACAAGTTGTGTGATTTTGCGTGTAACCACAACGTCTCTCTTTGTCTTCTTCAAAGCGGTGCGCCTCATGTGGCCGTTCACAAAAAGCACAAATGCATATGCAGGAGTTTGTCCCTCCTAGGTGACCGTAGAAACATGGTAGAAGAGGACCTGCTCCTCTGTAGATATTAGGGTGACCATATTCTGACTTCCCAATAAAAGGACACAACTACGCAGATCAGATACACGGGTCAGATCGAGTGTTTTTTACGCGCTTCTAACTCAGGAAGTCCACGTGACGCCAAATCGAAACTTGCGTGCAAAACTGCGGACGTTTGAAGCGTTTTATAAACTTCCTCGGACAAACCCAAAGAAGTAGACATATCTGGGTAAAAGAGGACGTATGGTCACCCTCGTAGATATAAAAGGCTCATTTAAGGCTCAGCACTAAAATGTTGTAATGTTTGAGGTTAAAGGCCAAATTAAACTCGTTATTTCAGTTTACCTGATTCGTATCAAACTCACGTCAAAAATGTCCAACAAAAGCCAAGATTGAAAATCTCCGAACAAAATGACTGTAAGTTCAAACAATGTTTTACAGTCTCAGGTGGAATAAAAATATCCTGGTCCTTACATAAGTCTAATAAATAAACAGATGGGCTGATTAAAATCTAATTATACTTTTCTTTTCAGCCGCTGCAGGAGCGTTTTGGCAGGAGCTGCTTCTTGTCTCATAGCATCAAGGTGAGAACACACCTTTTACCTCAGCGTCAGGGTTACATAAGAGCTCTGAGAACATCATGTTTGTTCATATTTAAGCTCTGTGTATATAAACGGAGGCCAGGCAGGACGACGCAGTCTCATAAAACAGGGATTTGAATGTGATTTATCCGTGTTTGGAGTGACAGTTGCATCTGCGAACGCAGCATCGAGCACTGAATCATTGTTACGGCAACAAGAGCTTATCTGATCAACCTGGCTCTGGTTTTCAGGACTTTACGAGGTTTCTAAACTGACCCCTGTCTGTCTTTTAGGATTTCATCATCTCTGTGTTTATATCTTTTCCTTTGAGTGCAGTCCAAACATAAAATACATTCAGACGTAAGGATTAGAGCTGATGTAACTCCGTCTGCAGGCAGCTCCAGGAAAAGTTTACATAGTTAGAAATCCGCCAGAGAGAGAATGACCCTGAAACAGAGGAAATCAGCTCTACTGCATAAACTCCTGACTTTAAATGTAAATGTAGAAAGTTAAAATCAAAAAAGAGAAGTCGAATTCAGCGATCTACACGTTAGAAACACCAGGAAAGACTTCCTCGTTCCTCCCACCAGAGACAAACACCATCTGTCATTCTGCAGAAAACATAACTCCTCAGACAAAACACCGAGAGGTACGAGCAGGAGGGTGAATTTTCAGACGCAAACATCCACGGACCACACAGATCTTTGTCTGAGGAAATCTGTGACTCTGAATCCCCCCCGGAGGCCTTTCCTCCTCCAGATGTGTGGTCCCCCCCTCCAAAAAAAGATGGAGATCTATAACCAAAACAGGAGCTGATTATCATAATCACAGCTCAGCTCAGATCCATCTGCCGCTCGTCCAAACTGGTGTTAGAAGTTCAGGAGATCCATGTCAGATGAAATCCTGCCCCCGGGGTTTATGCTGACTCTGACACCTCCAGATTCAAGTCCTTTACATGCGTGAGGGCGACTTTGGTTTCCACCGAGTAAATAATCTCAGAGACAGTTTTACTGCGAGTGAACATAAACAGATTTATATGTAAATGTTAAATAAAACACTTTTAAACCCTGATTTTCTTTTGTGTTTTAGTTCTTTGTCTGCAAACTCTTCTGGTTTCTGTTTGAAGTGCGTTGAACTCAGATATCAGCAGACTTTGGTGTTGGTAGGAAATTCAGTCAGGAGAGTATGGAGAGCGACTCCATTACAGACTACAGCGGGGTGCCGCAGCTCAAGGAAGAACATTTATGATCATTTCTTCATGGAAATACAATCAGACCGAGACGCTAAGGCAGAAGAACTACCGCGTCTGTAAAATGATTAATATGGTGATTATTACTTCAAGGAAATGATAAAGAAATGATCATAAATGTTCTTCCTTGAGCTGCGTCACCCCACTGTAGTCCGTAATGGACTGGCCTGAGGTCTCGCTACAAACTAGCGGCTGCTGGAAGAGAGTAGGTGAGTTGTGTTTAGTCTCTTTGCTAAAGAAATGAGTCAAAGTTAAAAAGATGTTTGGTGTCTAGTACTATGGCTGTGACCCTATATGTCCTGTTGATGAAGTTAGGTGCTGTTCTGAGTATTATTTGTGGCTATAGAGTGGCGTTTTGGTTGAGGGCGTGGTTCTCTGTATTACTATCCTGCGGTCGTTACTAAAGTTGGTTTAACTAGAGAAGTAAGAGGTCGGCAACATTCGTCTCTCGAGGAGATGTCTAACTCTGTGTTACGGTGTGTTTGACCCTAACTTAACTTTACACCGGAATATCCCTTTAATCTGAGGGTTTATTTCCTGAAACCTCAGTCAGCTGGAGGGGTCTCTTTTTCCTTTTCGGTAATCTGTGATGACGTTTAGGAGTCTTTTTTTGGGAAGAGTCTGACGTCTTTCTGGGAAATAGTTCTTCATCAGTAAAATGAAACAAGTATTTCAGGGTTTTTTGAGTCTCACTCCTGACAAGTTCCCTTTTTTACAAACACTAAAACTAAAGAAAATCAAACTGAAACTTTGAGTTTTCACAAAATAAAACCGAGCTAAGAACAAGAACAAAAATGAAACGTATTTACGGTTAATATCTAAAGTCTATTGAAGGGTTTTCTCTCTCAGATGACTGTCGACAGATTCAGCTCGCACACGTCTGGAAAGACTCACAGACGAAGCGTGGGAGGCCTCGTCTCTCCTCGTCCCACTCCTCAGCTCCACAAACACGCTTCTTGTTAGACACAACAGAGATACAGTGAAACGCTGCGGTGACGAAATCCCATGATGCTCTGCTCTCCACCCACAGTTTGTCTGCTCACAGCTGCCTCTGCTCTTCTCTGTGATGATAAAGTTTTATTTAAATTCAGTTCAAGTGTTTAACATTTGTTTATAAAGACACTGGACCGAACAGTCGGACAAGTTTTTATAACTTCTTCCTCTTCGTAGTCTTTGTAACTTTAAAATCTCAGACTCAAGTTAATGTCCGACTAAATATGAGTTTTTAAGGATGTTTTTTATAATGTTGATGTAAGTCAGAAAGATGGCCGAGGATATCCAAACCAAATCAAAGAGTCAGTGTCTTCATATAGATGTTTGCTGGGTCTCGCTTTCCTGTCTCGTAAACCTCTGACTAGATAGTCGGGTAAAAACTCTCTAGTTTGTCTGACTTGACTACAAACAAATATGGCGGCGCTCGCAGACGTCATTTCTGTAGAAATTTCTGTGAACAGACAGGGAAACAGCTGGAGTCCAGATCAGCGGTATTTCTACATCCTCGCTGTCATCTCCCTCCTCTTCCTCCCCTCTGTCTGAATTAAATGAGGTGACTGAGAGTTACATAAACTCCAGGATCCGTTTCCAGACGGCTGCTCGGCTCTCAGACTTCAAAGCGAGCTGGTGTCCTCTCACTGCGTCTCCTCCCTGATGCTCCTCCATTAAACCTGAGGACGTAACGTCTCCCAGGACCCCACAGAGACGGAGCTAATCCTCTCTGTGAGCTCAGAGTCTGTCTGAATGAGACTGTGGAGTCCAGGTCCAGGCTGAGGGACTGTTTTAGAGGAAAGGTCTGACTGGAGGAGCCGCTTTAGGTCAGAGGAACGAAGATGCAGCCAAAGGAGACTTCAAGGATCCAAGTATTGATGGTCCGTTTATCCTGAGTCATCTGAGGCCGCTCGCCAGCCATCAGGTCACAATCAGAGGATCTCGATTGTTGTCTTTAAAACATCTGTTAGATCTTTTCAGGTCACTCAAACTCCTCTGAGGACAAACTGTGGTCGAGGGCCTCACACCAAAACTGAGGCAGGAGACTAAACCAGCAAAGTTCTTCAAGATTTGTTTCCTTCCTCTGAATGTGCAGCTGTCCAACCTGAAGTCTTCGGTATGTGTGTCAGAAACTTAAAGGGATATTCCGGCGTAAAATTACTTAGGTCGCGTTCATTCACACCTATACGTCATCAATATGCGACAAACGTCACCATTATTCGACGACACAAACAGGCGAGGAAAGCAATTTATGCTTTGTGCACATGCGGGTCACTTCACGGACGCATTCTGTTTACATTAGATGCTGCATTTGTTGTTGGAATGTGAACGACCGCACAAAAAGATCGGATTTAAGAAAAAATCCGAATTGTGCATCAGAACCTGCAGTGTGAACGTAGACTTATATTCCAGAAAATACGGTAAGTGGAAGTGATGCACATGAGTTGACTATAGTGGAGATGTCCGAACCTGCACTTAACGTTGATTTAAAGGACTGAAGTCTGTTGAATATTTGCAGAAAATCTTCCTTTTATTCTGGTTTTAAAGCTGCAGTTTGGAGTCTTTGTACCAGCGTGGGAAAAGTGCGTTTGGCGTCGTGCCTTGAATGCAGACGTAAAACATCAGCTGTCACTCAGTCAGCTGTGATGACATGACAGCTCGTCTCTCTGACCTGCCAGCAGCTCCACCTTTAATCTCAGTTTTATTCCATCAACATCAAACTGTCCGAGGCCACGAGGAAATCACTCTTCTAACCGCGTTCCAATCCACTCGTCAGGGTGTGTACGAATGTTTTATAACCTGATTTACATAACACTGAAACCTACTTACAGCTGAGCTCTGTTTATGAGGACATGCAGATGCTGCAGATTAAAGTGAATTAACTTGGGAAGTGAGTAAACTTGAACTTTCAGCTGTTTTTAAGTGTTTTTCCACCAGACACCGAGTTTCCTCCAGCAAAAACAAAAAAAACAGAGAGTCAGAAAGAACAGCTCGACCCTGACCTGCAGACCTAAATCACCTGAGCTCGTAAAGTCGGCGTGAAGCTGGCACACACTCAGGGATCCTCTTTCATAACACACACACAAACACACAAGCATCGAGCCAGAGGTGGAGGGATGTCCGAGGTTACAGGCCACAGCTGCAGAAGGTCAAAAGTCAAGGTGGAGAGGTGAGAGAGGAGGTTTAACTGGAAATAGGAGACTGGAGGTCGTCTTCCCTGAAGGATTATCGGTGTTACGGTTCAAGGACGTCAAAAAAAGACGAGGGTCAGGTCAAAGCGAGCTCTTAATGTGACGCTTAAAACACGTTTATATTCATGCATTCATAAAAACAGTTAAAATAATAGAATAAAAACGACTTTAAATGGATTTAAACACTGATGGAGGATCCTCAGATCTCAGGTTGTTTACCTGAGGAGGTCAAGGGGTCAAACCCCGCCCCCTTATATATGGCGATTTATTATATTTCTATGATATCATGTGTTTGTTTTCGGTCTTTTGCTGACCCCCTCAGCTGCTTCTTTGTTAACTTTAACCCGACTGAATAAAATATTTTCACCTGTTATGACCCAGAGTTTAACTGCTTTTATTCTCTTTTCTGAATGTCTTATTGTTAATTTTTTGTTTTTAAAGGTTTTGAATCCCGACTATTGATGCAAACTGAAGATTTTTTGTTCATCCAGGTGTGAGTGAGGATCTCTCCTGCTCTGTAGCCTCCTGTCACCCACCCCTCCGCCTCCTCAGGGTGCTCCACTTTATTCAGTCCATTACTCACCGCAGTGCTGGATTACTCACACCTCCAGTCCCTCGCTCTTTGTCACGGCAGAAAAATAAATGCCTTCGTACAAAGAGACAAACACCGACGCAGCAGAATCCTCTCCAACCAACACACACGTCTGAAGCTGCGGTAAGAAACAGAAACAAATTGGACCTGCTGACCTTCTGAAAACACACACACAAATACACACACATGTCTAAATAACACTCACAGTTATTTAGCAACAATACAGTTATGTAACTTCAGAAACAATGAGACGCTGCGACTTCAAAAAGCTCGACCGCAAGAGCGGAGATTAAATTTCTCAAAGGATTTGCACAAATATGACGAAGCTGTTCGTCACCCAGATTTGACAGGGTCTGATCAGGATTACACAACCTGCAGGAGGACGAACCCGAACACTGGAATTTTTCAGCTTTCAGAAAAACAGAATATGTAGTGAAGGAATGATGCGTATTCGGCTGTGAGGGATGCATTCAGAGTCTTTTGGTCTGGTTGGATTTTTCAACCGGCTTCTAACAGCGGTCTAAGACAGGCCTCCAGCTCAGGTGTGGTGGAAGTGAACGCAGTAACACCCGGGTCCTCATTTATCAACCGTGTGTAGAAAAGGTTTTAAATTCTGACTACAGCGGGGTGACGCAGCTCAAGGAAGAAATGATCATAAATGTTCTTCCTTGAGCTGCGTCACCCCGCTGTAGTCTGTAATGGATTGGCCGAGGTCTCCATACAAACAAGCAGCTGCTGGAAGAGAGTAGCGGAGTTGTGTTTAGTCTCTTTGCTAAAGAAATTATTTGTGGCTATAGAGTGGCGTTTCGGTTGAGGGCGTGGCTCTGTGTATTGCTATCGTGCGGTCGTTACTAAAGTTGGTATAACTAGAGAATCAAGCGGTCGGCAACATTCATCTCTTGTCGGGGTGTCTAATGCTGGAATATCCCTTTAAAAGCCGAGCTAAATCCCGGCGTGCTCAGTCGGATCTGTAACACCTTCACTCTGAGTTGTAAACAGCAGGCGATTGATTTGTGTCTGCTGGACTTTAGAGCAATCCACCTGAGGAGTTTGCGTCATCAGACCCAATCAGCTGTCAATCATTTCTACGGTTATCACCTGAAGAAAGGTGAAATTATGACCTTCAGAGTTGATTTAACACCTCAGTGACACACTTTAGGAGATATTGCAGGGCTGCTGTGTTGCAAACTGTGGCGTGCGTTGAGAAACTTCAGACCTGGAGACGCATGCAGCACTTCAATCATGAGAAAGACTCAGTTTGAGACGTTGAATTTGAGGAGAAATGCGTAAATCCTCCTTTCGCGCCTCTCTAAGCTTCTCTCTCTGGGTTGTGGGACATCTGTTGCGCCGCAGGACGCCTCACTTCCTTTCAAACTGAGCTCAGAGGTTTTATCTCCCCCCCTGGTACTTACCTCGTCACCTGCTCTGTCACTTCACACAGGCAGAGGAGAAGGAGACAAAGCCGTCATTGTTCAAACCTGTCCCAGAAACAGCCAGCGACACAAAGAGAGGCTGACATGAGAGTCTTTGAATCTGAAACCCCTGATCCAGGTGTGCAGGTAGAGTCCGAGCAGGTCTGAGGGTTTACCTCACGCTTTGAAGTCCTCTGTGACGTCAGACTCAGGAACGTGGACCACCAGGCCCTGTAGGACAGCTCTCAACAAGCTCAGAGACCTGTGCGATTAGGCACGGGGTCCCACAGGGGTCTGTCCTCGGTCCGCTGTTGTTTTCACTTTACCTGGCACCTGATTTGCAGTCGTGTACGCCAGACCAGGGGCCTCATTTATCAACCGTGCGTACGTACAGATGTGTGCGTAATGACTGTGTACGAACATTCCCACGCAAAGTCTGGAATTGATCAACCTGAACTTGTGTTTAAGCACAACTCTGAGCATGCATACACACAAACCCTAGTGGTAGAACAGTGAAACTACAAATACAGCCCATTAAAGGAGTCGCAGCGTTCAGCATTCAGTCTCACTCTGTGTTACGGTGCGTTTGACCCTAAATTAATTTTGTACCGGAATATCCCTTTAACTTCTAGACAGTTAGCTTCTGGTCAGTTACATTATTGGCTTAATCTGGTTCAGGTCTTCCACATGGTTCCCCAGTCATAATGAAACTGTCTTTGAACCCGGCTCAAACATGCTGTTTTTGCTGTAAAGGTGGAACCTGTTTTAATAGATTTGCATGTGACGTCTGCAGAAAACCTCAAGTGGACGCTAAAGGAACTGCAGTTTTTGGTAATTCGGCATCAGCTCGCTCCTAAAAATCAGAGGTTACACTGAAAAAAAGTCAAACTTTGTGAGTGTTTTTGTCTTATTTCTGATCAAATGTGTCTCTTTAGGTTAATTTACCGAAAAATTGTCTGATAGGTCCAGAAAAGCGGCTTATTCCAAGACATTACAAGCCAAAAAAAGGCGACTGTTTGTTATGAGTAAAAGAAAATCTGCGAGAAATGAGACAAAAAAATTATTAAGATTTGAGTTTTTAAAGTGTATAACTAGAAAACAAATGTTATGTGTTGTTGTCAGAGGCAAATATCTGCCGCGGGGTCCCACAGGGTTCAGTCCTGGGTCCAACTCTGTTTTCAAATTCACTGTTATGCCGATGACATGCCTCTTTACATTCGACATAGTGGTACATCACTGAGACTGAGTCCAGGTGTTGTGCAGACTATGGACAATACTCTTATTTGTATTCCTCAGTTTTTGGCGTTTAGTTTTTCATGGTTATCTTTCGATCTCTTGTTACTCAGTTGTGTATAATTTTTCAGGTCCTGAGTTGCCGAGACGCCCCAGAGCTCTGACCCTAACTGCAGCATCCCTGTTGTGTTTACGAGGTACAAATTGCACATTACATACCTGCAGAGGAAGCTGAATGCGATACGGGATTTCTCAAAATGCCATCTGTTCCTACAGTCCAACAGGCCTCGAGCAAAAGCCGGAAAACTTCACGCAGGTATTCGTCCGGGAGGTCCGACTTAATGGAGCCAATTTGGCAGCATCTAAACGGAAACACTGAAGAGAAAATGAAATAAACTGCGAGTTCCTCATCAGAGTAATGACAGTGACCTCTCGTCCACCCGCAGCAACAGTTTGGTCTCATTAATAAAGAGTCCAGAGGAGGTGAGGTATTTTCACAGCAGCCTGGAGGATTCTCATAAAACTGGGGAAAGGAAATGTTTTAATGTCTCTGCTGACAGGACGCTTAAATAAACACAATGGAGTTTTTCAGTCGGGGTTACTGGATGAAGTCATAGCTGATGGATGTTATTGTCGTAATTTTTCCAAAAGATGGTTATTGTTTGTTTCCTCTCAGTTCACAGCAGCAGGGAACGAGAAGTGAAGATGTTAGCGCTTATTTAGGTTCGGGAGAAGAGTTTTAAATCGAAAATATCAGGTTTAACTTCCTGACCATTGAAGTAATTCAGATAAAATGACACTTAACCAGGGTGTAAATGTGCCTATTTGATGTAAAGTTGGAGATTTTAACATGCAGCCAAATGGAGGTTTGATCACTTTTAGAGACAGCCCCAAGTGGCCGTCTGAGGAACTGCAGTTTTTGGCATCTCTATATAAGTTTTCCTTTTTTTTCTTTGTTTCTGTTTTAAAGGATATTAAGTATATATTTTAAAAAAAGGTCCACCATAGAAACAAGTAAATATTTGGAATAAAAATTACATAATGTAAGCTAACCCTGAAGTGCGGGTATATCACTGTTAGTCCGTCTCTTTGAGAGTAATTTTCCATGACACATAATCCAGGTTTGCTGTTTTCATCTAAAGCTGTGAGTTTAGGTATCAGATTATTTCATTGTTGTGTAAGTCGTCTCTAACTCCTCCAAAGTTGCACAACTTCCTCCTGGGACCTGGATGAGTGCGGTGACCCTCTGCTCTGCTTTTGTTCTGATTTAACTGCCAGCGATCGAGTGATGACTGATTGATCGATGCAGCGGATCTATAAGACACTGTAAACTGATCCTCGGAGGTGCGGATACGACCGTCGTGGGAAAAGCGAAGGGAAAACTCCCTTCCTCTGTCAGCCTCGTGCGCGGGGATGAGAATCTCAGAGAGAGCGGGTCGGTTCAGCCCTGCAGCGCTGCAGACGCTGAAGCTGTGGGGATGAGGGGAAGAGTCGTCTATTGTTCGGCTGATAACGGCTGATTGCTGATATGTTGGCGGTGAGTCGTCAGGGAGATTGTGTGACTCCTGGACAGGTTGTGACAATGTTTGACTCCATGATAACACAGATATATGACAACTCCATCAGCTCCAAGTGTTGTGCAATGTCCTACCTTGTATCTGTGATTACAAAGATGAGGCCTCTTCATGTACTTATGGATCACATTACATCCTGATTACATGATAGGAACTGAAGGCCGACACTAACGGGTTCTTGCACTGCAAAAAAAGGGGGGTCCAAAAACAAGATACAAACACTAAATCTGAGGGAAAATTTCACTAAAACAAGTGGAATTATTTGTCCATGCAGCAAGATCATTTCACTTGACAAGATTTCTTGAATTAAGATTCTTAAATCTAGAAATAAACATGTCTACAAGTGTTTTCAGAAGGCGTAAAGTGAGACAAAAATGCTGGTTTTAAGATCAGATTACGTAAAATTTAACTTTTACAGCCCTGAAAATAAGTGAAATATACTTCATATAAGCATAAAATGCTGGTTTTAAGATCAGATTGCTTTAGATTTAACATTTCCCCCCAAAAAATATGTTAAATACACTAAATATAAGCATAAAACAAGTATAAAATGCTGGTTTTAAGATATGATTATGTAAAATTGAACTTTTACAGCCAAAAAAAAAAAGCAATATATACTTAATATAAGCAGAAAAGAGGTATAAAATGCTGGTTTTAAGATCAGATTACTTGAATTTTAACATTTACAGCCCTAAAATAAGTTAAATGTACTAAATAAAAGTATAAGGTAAGGAGAAATTGTGGTTTTAAGATAAGATAACTTAAAAAGTAACTTTTTTACAGCCCCTAAATAAGTGAAATGTACCAAATGTAAGCGATTACATATTTTGTTTTCATACTTTTAGCAAATTAAGCTGAATATTAGTTAAACAAAACCAGTATTAGTGAGGAATGACTAAACTCTGTCTTAATCCAAGCAGGCTGATCCTGAAACAAGATTCCTTTTCATGAGACTAGAGCTTATTTTAACAGTTATTATCCCCATTTTAAGATTTCCTGCCTATTTGAGACAAAAAAAGATAAAGCTGTGCTTGATATAAGATTAAGGTTAGAAGTTAAACACTTCAAATAAGAAATTAAGTCTGAAAACAAGAGAAATGATCAAACACCTCTAAATCTAAGGTGTTTTTTGTCTCAGTAAGAACCAAATCATTTGCAGTGTTTGTAAATTCATGTTGATAATTTTATAATCTAAAAGTTTATTTTGGGGGGAATTAGAAAATCCTGCGAACCACAGAGATAATTAAAAATGTAATGTGTGTTTTTGTCGTATCAAAACTCTGTCTCTTGAGTCGTAACCTTTCTGACTCCTGGGTCGGACCTGGTGACTAAAGATCGGTTACTTCCTGCGCTCAGGTTCCTCCGGCTCAGATTTCACCTGCTGGAAGGTGAGAGCTCTGAATCAGCTGGAGTGTGTCTGAAACATTCATCAGGAAGATACACCTGCTGGAAGAAAAGCAACGCTACACACCGCAGCTCTCGGTTTGTTTTGAGTCTCGATTACCCTTTTTTACACTAAGAGGTCAAAGGTGAAGCTGCTCAGCCACTTCCCAATAATACCTTCCCTGGACTTGCCTCAGTAGATCACCTATCAGTCCCCAGAATATTGGATCAGCTGATTCAGTCCTCTCTGTCAAATCGTGTGTTAAAGAAATCGTCTTTTTGCAGATTTCCTGATTTCATTTCTGTTAAAATTTCTTCAACTTTCAGTTCATTTAAAAAAATCTATTTATTGCATCAGTCTAAATGAAACTGGACCTCTTCTCATTTTATGTTTCCTCTAAATATGACACTGGTTTCATGATCCAGAGTGTGCAAAAGCTTGTAATCGTAGACTCACAGTGCCTAAAACATAAATATACGACCGGTTTAACACAATCAAACTGTCTGAAGTGATAAGAAGTTATAAAAGAAGGTCAGTTCAGTGCAGTAAGCATGGCAGCAGCTGGCCTGTGCGCTCAAACAGTCACGGTGTAAACACTGCAGTTGTAGTAGACGACACACAGACGATACCTGCAGGTCACTGATGTGTCAACACCGTCATGGGGGTCTGATATTTTCTCTGAGCTGGTTTCTGGGAATGGGAGCAGTGACACTGTGGGAACTTTTCTCAGAACCAGAAGGTCATCGCTGAGGCTGCTTAGATATAAACATTACAACCACAAGTAGACTCGGGAACGTTCCCAACGCAGGTACGACCGTAAGTGTCACCGACAGCTACACAGAAGGTACAGTTCCCAAGAGTTGACACGTCGAAATGCAGCATTAGAGCAAATCCGTGACCAGGAAAGGTCTCATTGTGTGTTTACCTGTTCCAGACCAACTCGAGGACTAAAATAAGTCCAAAAATACGACATAATTACGGGTGACAGCAGCAGAACAGGCCTAAAAAGGAATTATGAGGAAAGACGCCTCATGTGCTGCAGCCTGTTAGTCATAGACCTCAGTGAGTGATGCAAGAATGAGTCCAAAAACCTGGGAAGGAGTTTGCATATCTGAACTTTCTGTTCCCTCTTCTGACAGTCATCGGGGGTTTATGGGTATTTTGCCTGAAATAAGGCAGCAATCGAGGACATTTTGACACACAGAATAGTGAAGTCTAAATGAGCAACATTTCCCTTCACAGTATCGATGATTCATAGCTATTATCGAGTTCAAAAGGCATGTCCAGCTAAATGTCATCTGCATATAAATAATGAGAGATACCTTTATAAGTCCTTCTAAGATAATCCAGAGGGATCGGGTGTAGAGAAAACAACAGGGGACCCAGAACAGACCCCTGAGGGGCTCCACAAGACAGGGCCCAGGGTGTAATTTTCACGTATTCTTACTCGTCTTTAAAGCCAGAATGAGATAAACACGAACATTTTTGCCACAGTGTCAACAGGCAGAGGGGAAACGTGCTGGAAATCTGTCTGTGGACTGATTCAAGTTGAGCTGGTGTCTAGAAACACTTTAGTTACTGACATCAATCACTGTTTTTTTGCCGTTTTGACCAATCAGAGTCAAGTATTTACCACAGCTGGGTAATAAAACATGGTAGACTCAGGATAATGAGGTGATTATAACATTTCTAGTGTTGTGTCGTTCATGAACGTTTCGTTCAAAAGAGTGCCGGTTGGGAGTGAAACTGTCACCTATGAGTCTATGGCGAACGACACAGCCAGCCAGCGAGCGAGTGGGTGGGCGGAGTCTCGTGATTTGCTCACAGTAAATGAACGACATGTTTCAGTCAGACTGTGAACAAAACAAACGACTTCTGAATGACTAATTTGATTCTTCGAAAACATCTAATTAGACCTACAGGGAGATAAATAGGCTAAGATAAAACAGTGCATTATTGTGCCTTTACATGAATTCACGTCTATAAACTTTCCTGTGTATAAACTTATCGTGGATTAGCAGAATTTCTCAACTTTTCTGCTATTTAAAAGAACGACAACTCGCGCTCGTTTAGCCGGCGTGCTGCTTGCTGCTGAGTTGTTTCACTGATGAGAACGTCGGCAACACACAGAGAAGTGAGTTTTTCAGGACAGGTGAGTGATTCTTCCTTCAGGACTTGGCGAATGAATGACGTGTCCCCCAGTGAACGACAGCAGCAGGGGAGGGGAGGGGCTAGGTCAATGAATGAACTCTCGATCAGCGCCACTGTGTCAGTCACTCGTGTACTGCACCCGGCAGGATGGGGCTCTCAAGCGCTGACTGATTCGGTGAACGAATCTTTAGAAGGAATCATTTTAATTAACGGATTCTAAAGATTCAGTCAAACGAACAGTTCTTCCCATCACTAACTCCCAATTTCCACCGCATCTGGAACTGCTCCTAAAAGGTCGTATCCTCCGATCGTAGCTGATCGTAACCATTCAAGTTAACGTGTCAATTTACACCGACTTCTTTCCGTTCCTCTGCTGATCGCTGGACTCCTCAGCTGATCACAAGAGTTCTATTTTTTCTGGACGCCGGAGCACGGCGGATAAATTCAGCACAGATTAACCCGTGCTGGAAAGGAAGTCGGGCACAGACACAAAATAAAACATCCGGCTTCTTTTCAAAATAAAACACTCTGTCTTTCAGGAGGATCGTATTTCACACCATGCAAACGGGCGGAGACGAACAAGTGAAAGGTTTTTAGACGTCATTTCACCCTGATGACACCATGGATGAGGAGATGCTGATTCTAGAAGTCTAGAAGTAGATTTCCTCCTCTGGAAGGACACAATCTACTGCTTATATGATTAGCCTCTGTGGCTAAAGACACACGATTCCTGCTGTCCGTAATCCGCCACTAATTTGCCACACAAACAGATCCAGGAGGAATTGACGTACTGCAAAAATCGTTTCGGATCTGAGCCGTTCAGGATGCGGTGGAAATCTCGGGTAAACCTTTCTCAAACTCCTGCTCACTTATAAACTCAGTGACTTTATGAAGAGTGGTGCTTTTGCTCCCCTCTATACAGAAATTATGTAACATAGTCGTGTTAAACCCTGTGTCCTCTCAGCCAGGTGCAAAGAAACATCAAATATGTACCGTCGTTTAACCTCATCTCAGAGAAAGCATTGCACGACTGTATCAGCTTTAAAACTTCTAAATTAAGAGTTGCGGCTTTTAAAATGAAGTTAAAGAGACAAATAATAACACAGCTGTGGTGGGAGCAGTAAAAGAGTGACTTATGTTGTTCATTTGTGACTCACAGATGTAAAAGACCTGAAGACATAACAAGCCTGAGACACAGAGAGAGAGAGAGTAGAAGGCCGCAGCCTTCATATCAGCAGATAAGATAAACACCTCTCAGCGGTTTTTCACTCAGAACAGAACAGTCCCAGCGCTCACAGTCCTCTAATGGATGTGCAATAAATCCTGTCCTCTCCTCTTCTTAGTGCTCTGCAGAAAGGTCACAAAAGTTAAGTCAGAGCGAGGCATGGAGAAACAAACAAGGCTAACGGTGTGCAGCTCTGAGGACACAGGAGCACAGCTGTACGGTGAGATAAAGGCTAATGCAAACATGCGAATCTTCTCTTTAAAAAACTGAGCGCATGTGCTGATATGAAACCAACAATATGTTACTAATGTTCATAGATATTTATGAGAAAGGCTAGCTGACTCAAGGCGAGG